TGTTTTCCTTTTTTTGATATTATAGCCATCTTTATGGGTGTGAAGTGGTTGCGTATGTAATTTTGATAGATCTTGGCAAATTACACTCCCTAGACAGTGTATAAACTTATATTCTTATTGGCAATGTATGAGAGTAACTGCTTCTTCATACCTCTTGCCAACACAGTGTAATATGAAGTTTTTGGATTTTTGTCAATCTGGTTGTTGAAACATGGAATCTTATTGTCTTTTTGGTTTTTAAAGTTTCTTGTATTGAGTTAGCTTGGCCATCTTTTCATATGTTTGAGCCATTTGTATTCTGTCTGTTGTGAATTGTTTCTTCATATCATTTGCCCCTTTTCTACTAGATTGTTTGTCTTTTATTTGTAGGAACTTTACAGATATTAGAGAAATTAGTCCTTTGTGTGTGATAGGAGTTGCTAATATTTTCCCTAGTCTGTCTTTCCCTGAATATTTACTTGCCCACCGTATGCATTGTCCTAGGTGCTGGAGCTGTACTCTTAAACAGGAGACCCAAGGCTGCCCTCCTGGAGTTTATGTACTAACGGGAATGCAGGGAGATGATATACAAATAATCAAGATAATTTCCAGTTATGGTCCATACTTAGAGGGAAACAAAGCAGGATGTCATTATGATAACTGAAGGGTGGTGAGGTGGGAATCTGCTTACATAGAAACCTGAATGGGAGGTGATCATTTGAGTCCAGACACAAAAGGCAAGATGGCCATTCAAATAGCTGTGAAAGAGGAATGCAGAGGCCATGAGGCAGATTGAGCCTGGCATATACGGGGCAGTGAAAGGAGGCCAATGGGCTGGGTGTAGTGGGCAAGGAGAGGGGTACAAGATGAGGCTTGTAGCCAGGGGCCAGATCCTGAGCATCTAGGCTGCCATGAGGAGGAGTGCTGATTTTGTACTGAGTATGATGGGGGAGCCTCAGGAGGGTAATAAGTCGGAAGTTACTATGATATCATGTCTTTTTCCAAATCATTAAAAATTGTTTGAGAACGCTTAATGTCTGCTTGTTATTTCGTGGTGATGTATAAACCATAATTTATTAAACTCATTGTTGGGAAATTTTGATATTTTTCCTCCGCTCTCATATTTAATCATAAAATCTTGATAAACTAATGTATAATTTTGATTGCCTTCTTAGGCTATTTTCCTACGATAGATTTTATGAGCAATTTTTAAAGGTGTTTGAGATGTGAAATTCCTCAGCCCGCTGGAGTGATCTTTTGTGTTACAGACTGTGTTAATGACAACTACTGGTTTGGGAGGGATAAAAGCTGTGAATACTGCTTTGATGAGCCACTGCTGAAAAAAACGGATAAATACCGGACTTACAGCAAGAAGCACTTTCGGATTTTCAGAGTAGGTGACAAATATCCATACATTTGGGAGAGCTGGTAATCTAGTCTTCACTCTTAGATATCTTCCCGCTATAACTCCCCACTGTTACAACTTTGAAATAAAATGTTCTCTATTTTAGGAAATGGGTCCTAAAAACTCTTACATCGCATACATCGAAGATCACAGTGGGAATGGAACCTTTGTAAATAGAGAGCTTGTAGGGAAAGGAAGACGCCTTCCTTTGAATAACAATTCTGAAATCGCACTTTCAGTATGGAATAATAAAGGTAATGTTGTTATTATTATCTTATGGTTACTGGAACTTTTTTCCTCCCATATAAAAGGAAAATTGACGTGTATTCTTGCCGAAGTATGGTTTGAGTAAGTAAAGTAAGCAGATTTGCATTCAAGATTCAACCGAGTCCTAGTTGCGTTTTCAAATTATCAGGAAGTTCTATCATGATAGACACATTTCCTAAGGTTTAATTGGTTTGATTAGTTTTATTTAAAGCCATATGCTGTCAATTGAATTATCATATTGTTTACGAGAGTTCCTAGTTCATTGATGGATACAGGTTATGCCACATCAGTCTTAGATAGCTGTTGAGTTGTTGTTTTAGGCCATTAATTCATCTCCCTCCCTCCCTCCTCGTTTTTCCCTTTCGTGATCCCTTCCATTCATTCATTTCTGCATATATTTATTGAACTATTATATTCCAGGCAATAGGCTACAGGCTATGGGTTTTTCTATAAGAGTCTCAATTTAGACATTCCACCTTCTTAAATACCACGTGATTATCCTGTGAAAGTGGAGATGTTTATTGTCATCATCAAGTACTGTTTTATAAGCATCCATTCCTAAAACTTCATGAATATCACATCTAAAATGAACAATTGTCTTTCAGCGCAAAAGATTCAGTGCAGAAAGAGTAAAAATACCCTACAACTATCTGAGAGTTGAATAGCTTGGAAGGGTGTGTGTGTATGTGTGTGTAGATAACATCTTAAAAATATAGATTCCCACAGGCACTCTCCCGCAGACCCTCAACTAGTAGTTCCGAGATTTAAAACATCCTGTCTAGGTGATTCTTGCGCAGTCAGGCTTCAGATTGACCTCTGAGAACTATGACTATACTTGGCATGCTAACGTCCATTTTAGGATTGACTTAGTTTTCCCTGTTTCTGACTATTTTGTTTCCTATCTGATAGTTAGAGTCAGGGCAGCTGCATAGGGTTTTGCTGTTTGAGAACAGCTGGTGGAAGGGGCAACTGGGCCCTGAAATTTGGCCTGTCTTCCACTTGACAAGCTGTGTGCCACCTTCTAATTGGTCTCTCCAAGGGGCACCTTTTCTAATTTGAACACAGATGTCATATGGGTTAAAGGTGGCCATGGTTGAAATAGATCAAACTGGTATTCTGCAGACTGCATTTGGTCTACTGACATCTTATCAGGCATTTGCTGATATTTGTACTTTAACATGAAAATCCACGTTTCTTTGCGAAGGTAGAGTATCTGGCCACACTGAGCCTATAATCCCACTACTTGAGGATTTGCAGGTGCTGAGTAGAGGCTGCCTCCTTTAGATCGTGATATGTTTTCTCCTTTGAGTCCCCGTTGCTCCATGTTGTCTTACACTCAACCCTGCCTTCCAGCTTGTGTGGGCAACTGCGTTTGCAGCCCCTGAAGTAGAGCTTGACTTTTGTGAGAAATACATCTCCAGAGCCCCTCAAATTCCCAGATTCTCAAATGCCACTGGAACGTCTAGGTTCACAGATATCCACAAGCAGAGGGGCATCGTTGTCTCCTGGGTGGCCAGCAGGTTTCATTCACTAGGCAAGTGTCTACCTTGTGTGGACCAGTCTGGAATGAAGCGTACTGAGGTGGCTCAGATTCATGCCAGAGACTGGATCTCTAGGTTACTCCAGGGAGGTCAAAAACCGTCACCTGAAATCTGGGAAACTCAAGGGTCTTAAATTTCTCTCTTTCAAGATTTAACAGGTAGTTGCAAATTTACCATTGATGACTGTAGAATTGAAGTGTTTGGTAACTGACTGCAGGCTTGGCCCATGTGGATGGTTAAATTATTAAACGAATAGGTGTTTTTTTCCTCTTGTTTTTTCTCTGAGATACAGCCCGAATAATAGAGAAATCAATGGGATTCTTTTGGAAAATGCTATTTATTTAATTTTACAAGTAGGTTCAGGGCGGTTTGCACTATAAAATACCAGATATGTAAAGGTATAAATGGTAAAGAAGGTAATACAAGTATGATGACCTATGGTCTAATTTTTATTGGGTTGTTTATTGCTTGCCTAGAATATTTTTTCCTAGGCTCAAACTAATTGCCTTTTGGTTCTGAGCTTGTGTTAATCTGCATGGATATTTTATATTACTGCAATTGATTAATATTTTGAGGTCAAAGAATAAGACTAGCATTTATGTGTGGATTTCCTGTCCTATAGTGAGAATGATGCTGTGGATTTCCTGTCCTATAGTGAGAATGATGCTGTGTATTTCCATTAAAGAATGAAATTTGACAATCATCATTTTCCGTGGGTTTCATGATATGTATAGCCTATGTAAATAATTCCTTCAGGGTTAAATGTTAAATGTAATTAAAAACAATTGTCTTATATTCTATGTGTTTACTAAATTTTAGTGGCATTTATCTTCTTTTTTATTGAATGAATTAATGAGATCTATTTCTGCCTGTTTTTCCTTAGTTTTTGTATTTTTTGATCTGACTGTAGATGACCAGTCAGTTTATCCTAAGGAATTAAGAGATCAATACATCATGTCAAAAACTCTTGGAAGGTAATTTTCTTATTTCTTACAGATATTGCACTTAATTTTTTTCTAAACATTTGTCATTGCTTAGTTTTCCATTCCTGGTTTTATAACATTCATTATCTATTCATAACATATTTTAGGGGATCTATTTGTGATATGTATGTTATTGATTTATTTGATAATGATCAATTTAAATGAACAGGTTTTCCTTATAAATTTTATCTGTAATAACTTCTTAAAAGCAATTTTATTGATATAATTCACCCATTTAAACCCATTTAACTTACCCATAAAACTCACCCATTTAAAATGTACAATTCACTGGTTTTTAATATATTCACAGAATTGTGAAACCTTTACCACAATCAATTTTAGAACATCTTCACTAACTTCCAAAAAGAGACATTTACTGCATTTCTGCTCTCTTCAGAATTTGTGAAATCTTGGGAAGTGAAATGAAACTATCCATTGAATAGGGCAAAGTTCTCAAAATTTTTGTTCTCAGGACCCCTTACACTCTTAAAAGTTGCTGAAGACCCCAAAGAGCTTTTGTTCATAAGTATCTGTTGATATTTACTATAGTAGAAATTAAAACAGAGACATATTATTAATACTTAGTTCATTAAAAAGAAACTCACTTATGTTAAGATAAATAACATTTTTTAATGAAAAATAATTACTTAAAAAATGATTAGTGAGGGGCCGGCCTGGTGGCACAGCCGTTAAGTTCACACATTCCACGCCTGGGGTTCGCCGGTTCGGATCCCGGGTGTGGACATGGCACCACTTGGCAAGCCATGCTGTGGTAGGCGTCCCGCATATAAAGCAGAGGAAGATGGGCACGGATGTTAGCTCAGGGCCAGTCTTCCTCAGCAAAAAGAGGAGGATTGGCAGCAGATGTTAGCCCAGGGCTAATCTTCCTCAAAAAAAAAAAAAAAAAAATTAGTGAGAAGAGAGGCATTGTTTCACATTTTTGCAAATCTCTTTGATACCTGGCTGGCTTAGTAGAAGATGGCTGGATCCTGATATTTGCTTCTTCATTTGGTCTTTTGTGATATCGCATGCCACGTAGCCTCTGGAAAACTCTGTACACTCATGAGAGAATGAAAACAAAAAAGGTAAATAATGTCTTAGTATTGTTCCAAAAATAGTTTTGACTTCATGGACACCCTGAAAGGGTCTTGGGGTCTTTAGGGGTTGGTTGCCTGATCATACTTTGAGAACCACTTCCTTAGGGAAGGTGTTCAGGACACCTTACCGTGTTACACACTGTCCTTCACCCTCCCATTCCTCCCCCACCCCCAAAGGCCTTTCTATTTATTGATGTTTTTGGAAACATGAGAGTAGGAAATAATAGAAGGCAAGACCACTCATATTCCTGCCACATGGAATCATGCATAGTGTACTCTTTATGACCATCTGTGGGAGATATTTTAGTTTATGGACATGAAATTCAGTAACTCGTTGTGTTTCCATATTTGCATTGGCTACGTGGAAGTTTGCAGCCAAATTTGTGCCTGCCCTTAAGAAATGTATGAGACTCTAATTTTTCTAAGGGAAGATTCCACACAAATCCTTTAACTTTTAGCGGGTGACAGAAATTTAACTCAAATGAGTCAGGTAAGAAATTTACTGGCTCTTGTAACTGGGAAATAGAGCAGCACAGCTGACTTCACCAGGCAGCCTTTGGGCTTCATTGCACTCTGTGGCTTTGTCTGTGGCTGGACCTAAGGGCTCCCACAGTGTTGCCAGGGATCTGGCTCCATCTCTGGATTCAGCTACTCTTTGTTGCCCTCCTATAGAATTGCTCTCTCTGTGCAGCAGAAAAGTGGCTTCCAGGAGCCCCACATTCATATTTTCTTTCTTCTAGAAACCACAGCAGAGAGAACTGTTTCTTTCCCAACATCAACATTTGATTCCAGGGAAAACCTTAATTGGCTCAATTTTGGTTACACGTCCACCTCCAGGTCCTCGGAGTGGGTGCTGTGCTATTATAGTCACTCCACTAGAGCTATGTGGACTCAGGGAAGATTTCTCAGGCAAAAGGTTACTGTTAGCAGCAGCAGGAGAATTGGAAAGCGTTTTGAGCAGATTTAAAAAAATAATAGTTACACGGACCAATATCTCACACCTTATACAAAAATTAACTCAAAACGAAACAAAAAACAATATATAAGAGGTAAAAATATACACCTGTAAGAAGACATAGGGACAACTCTTCATGACCTTAGATTTGTCAATGGTTTCTTAATAAGGCACTAAAAGCACAAGCAACAAAAGAAAAAATAAAGAAATTAGACTTTATCAAATTTAAAAACTTTTGTGCATCAAAAGACACTATGAAGAGGGTGAAACAGAACCAACAGAATGAGAGAAAATATTTGCAAATCATACATCTGATGAGGATCTAGTATTCGGAATGAAGAACTCTCACAATTCAACAGCAAAAAGATAACCCAATTTAAAAATGGGCAAAGGATTTAAGTAGACATTTCTCCAAAGAGACAGAAATAGCCAAAAACCACATGAGAAGATGCTCAGCATCATTAGTCATTAGGGAAATGCAAACCAAAACCGCAGTGAAATATCACTTCACACCCACTAGGATGGGCATAACAAACAGAAAGAGACAAGTGTTTGTGAGGACGTGGAGAAATTGGAACTCCTTTCCACTGCTGGTGGTCATGTAAAATGGTACAGCCAGTGTGGGAAATAGTTTGGTGTTTTCTCAGAGTTAGACGTAGAATTACCATGTAACCCAGCAATTGCCCTTGTAGGGTGTATACTCCCCCACATTGAAAACAGGTGTTCAAACAAAAACTTGTGCATGAATGTTCATTGTGGCTCTAGTCACAGTACTCGAAAGGTGGAAACAACCCAAGTATCCATCAACAAAGGAATGCATAAACAAAATGTGATATAGCCATACAGTGGAATATTATTTAGCTATAAAAAGGAATGAAATACTGCTACATGTTAAGGCATGGATGAACCTGGAAAACATGCTAAGTGAAAGAAGCCAGACACAAAAGGCCACATATTGTATGATTCCATTGATATAAGATATTTGGAATAGGCAAATCCATAGAGACAAAGCAGATTAGTGGTTGCCAGGGGCTGGGGGCAGGGTAGAATGGAGTAATGCTTAATAGGTAAGAAGTTTCCATTTGGGCTGATAAAAAAGTTCTGGAACTACATAGCGGTGATGGTTACACAACATTGTGGATGTACTTAGTGCCACTGAATTGTACCCTTTACAATGATTACAATGGTAAATTTTATGTTATATATATACAAAATACACAATAAAAAAGATGTCTTGGCAAACCCCTGACCCTACCCCCAAACCCACAATAGTTATAATAGTCTACTTCAGGCAGGTAATGAATGACTGATACTTGAGTAGCCATTCCTTTGGGCTGACCCAAGCTTTGGAGAACAGAGCCTACAGAGGATTACCTGTGTCCTCTGTGGCATCCCGGGTAGCATTCCTCCTCCATTTTACGATCCCAATTAATTGGAAATCTTTGAGAGCTTGCTGCAAGCAGGTTAACTGTGTAATGCTTTTGATTTCTTAGGTATTGTGATTTTATTTAGGGTGCAATTCATGGCATCCACTACTTACACACTTCCTTTGAAGACAGAATAAGAAAGAAATATATCAGTGAAAGTAATTCATTTTCAGATACTGTTTACTGTTACTTGTTTCAAGTGCTTATTTTTGACTAGGACTTTGTACTGTTTGATGTTTCTCGGACCTCTGGGATAAGTCATTTCTCTCTGATTTGTTCTTAGTGTCTGTCTGAGAATTTCACAATCTGGGATGACAGTAAGATTTAAGTCTGTATCACTTAGCTCAAAAAGTGGAATTTGGAGCTGACCCAGTGTTGTTGCATGGTCCACATTCACTTGTGCCCTTGACATTTTACATTGGTGCGGTGTTACTGTGTTCTCTGAAACCAGGGACAGTGGAAGGGTTGTAGATGGACCGTCTTTAACTTGTAATAGTTGAGGCTGACTCAGGAGTGGTGGGTCTCTCATAATTAAAAACATTCTCACAGTTACTTTCTCTATTTTTCTCTGTAGTGGTGCTTGTGGTGAGGTGAAGCTAGCTTTTGAGAGGAAAACATGTAAGAAAGTAGCCATAAAAATCATCAGCAAAAGGAAGTTTGCTATTGGCTCTGGGAGAGAGGCTGTAAGTACCTGTGTTTGTGGCTGCTCAGCTGTTCTTAACAATTTCTTCTTAACTTCTCAAAATAATTTTGGAGTGGTGATTTTCAATGTCAGAAAGAATTTACTGCTCAGATATGTGAATTTGTATCAAAGAACATTGAAAATTTTTGAGTATAGCCAACTAATCTAGAAACTTACTTACAGATAATTTGGTTCCAAAAATATTTGGTTGTACATAATAGTATACGTAGCAGGAAGTTTTTTTTTCTTCCAAGTTGTTACAAGACTGTTTTTACAATAAATGAAAGGAAATTAGGAAAAAAAAAAATCCAGTCACATCCCCATCACTGTAACCCTACAGCTGTTTTCAGTTTTCTTTTTCCTTCTAGTCTTTGTTCATATGAATTCCTGTTTTTAGATGGTTGAAATCATATTGTATATACAGTTTTGTATTCTTCTTTTCAACATAATCATTATTAATGCATAAACTTTCCCTAATATATCCTTTTTGATGATTGAGTCTTTATTTCATCGACTTTATCATAATTTATTCAACCATTTCTCTGGTTGATCATTTAGATAATTTCTAATTCTTTGTTCTTCCCATTAATGTGGCAATGAATATCTTAGTGTTTATAGATTTTTAAAAGCTTAATTAAATTATTTCAACAGTCTCTTTATATGGTAGCCATTCATTTTATTGCATTTTCTATAAAATACATTTACACTGGAATGGCCAAGGGTGTTGGTCTTTCAATATATGACCTAGCAAAGTAATGTGAAATATGGCCTGTAATCACATTTTCCTTTGTGGCCAGCTGTTTCTGGCTATTATACTTTAACATTCTTTAAAGATCAATTTTTTTCCCCCAAGACAATGCCATTCTCATGTGGCAAGAGGAATTTCCTTTCTGTGTTCATTGCGTTATAGATCTTTTCCCTTGTGATTCTGGATTTGTTTCCCATTTTCTGGGGGAGAAAATGCTTACCAGATTCTTAATGACTTGCAGCAAAATTTTCCTTCTTAATTTCCTCTTTCAAATCTTATTGGACTCTTTTAGAGCTCTCCACCGTCAGAGTCCACCCTGACTTGGTAATGAGTTTAACGGCTTATAGAAAGAGGCAGGCTTTTAAAATTAAACATCTGGGTTTCTTAGCCAAAGTCCATTTTACATAAGTATGTAATTCTATATCCTCTTTGCTTTGGAGGGTGTAGCCCCTGAGGTTGAGTAACTCAAGTCATCCTTTTGGAATTGTAACGGAGAGCAACTTCAGTACCCTGAAGCTTCCTCTCGTCGGAGCCTCTGTAAATACGACAGCCTGCAGTCAATTGGAACCAGTGTCTGTTCTATTATTAGAAATTTGACTTGACATTTTCCTTATACAGTTTAACTGAATACCTTCTTGCCTGTGGCTTTTGTTTGTTGTATCATTTTGATGAATGTAAATAATTCTACAGCTGATGAGACAAGCAGATCTTACCAGGTAAGCATGAGAAGAGTGGAAGCACATTTGTTTCTGGCTGTGGGAACTGGAGCAAGTGGCTTCCTTTCTCTCAGCCTCAGTTGTTCCATCTGCAAAATGGGGATAATAGAACCCAGTTCATTTGGGAATTATGAGGGTTAGATGAGATGACCGTTTTAATTAAAGAGCTTGGCATAGGGCCTGGTCACTTACTGAATGCTTACTATTGGCCAAGCACTTTGCAGAGTGATTTTAGGTGAGTTATTTAATTTACTGACCTCTAGGCCTTGATCTCTCTGTATGAGCAGAGCTGGGAACTCAGACAGCTTTTACTCAGCTGAGTTTAGCTGTAAATATTTTCTAAATATTGGCTATTATTATTACTAATAAACTCTAATATTATTTTATTTATCAAAGGATCCAGCTCTCAATGTGGAAACAGAAATAGAAATCTTGAAAAAACTAAATCATGTAAGTATTGCTGTAAAATATGACCCATACCTGAATTCATTCATCTCAAAATATAGCAGGAGTGCAAAGCATTTCAATATAATAAAGCTGGTATTAACCTGGGTTCCTTAACTGTGTATGTAAATGTGTACATGTGTGTGTTTGCATGCACGCATATATGTTTTTAGCTGCCATTTAGCTGGGAAGAAACTTTACCCTGAAATTTTGAGAGGACAATACTATGTAAAGATTTCATGATTAAATAATTATGTGATATTTCCACTGAGTTAGTTTCTGACCAAAAGAGATAGTAAATCTCCTAAATATTATATTTCATAGGGGCTTGATCAACTGATTATCTTTGTGAAGACAATGCTAATTTGGCAAATTTGGTTTAATTATACCTGAAGTTTTAACACCTCTGCATACCTTTTGACAGTACTGATTTCCATTTACTTCATTTGGAGTAAATCAAATAAATTCAAGGGTATCCAATAAGTATGACAACATTCTGTCCTTACATCTGACTAAATGGTGTCAGTGGCTTTGTTGAGTGTACATAGTTCCTATCTTTTTTGTGCCGTGATGACCTTGTCTCAATGGAAGTGTCTAAAGATGTGAGAAGAGAAAGTTAGCGTTGTGGATTCCATCTTCCTTTTTATTGTTCTTTTCATTTCTTCATTAATTCATGAGCCCTCATGAAGTCATGAGCTAGGTAGGCACTCGAGTGAAACTTGAAATAAGACCTCCAGTCTGTCCAGCTAAGAATTATCTTATGCTGATTCTTAACCTCCAACCAACAAGATTTCTTCTCCCTTTTCTCATCTCCTCAAATTGCCCCAAACAACAAATAGAAACTAAGACCAAAATCACTGCCATCATCACAATAATTCAGCAGCTTCCTTTAGAACCCATGGTGGATCTGAAAACCCATGAGAATCTGCGTGGCTGACCTTCCTGCTTGACTTTCTTCTAATTCCCTTCCAACTTCCTTCTTGCCTAAATTTTTCTTCTTCTCCAAGGGATCTGGAATCTCTTGTTAAAGAGAAGAGCCCTCTAATTATTTGGGGTGGAGTTGCTTCAAACATACCCCTAAGATAAACACTTAGAATCCTCAGAGAATTTTCTCTGATGTCAGAGGATCCCCAAACATAATATTTATACAAGTCCAATGTCCACTGCAGTCAAGAGGAATTTAGAACCCTAAAAAAGATCTCTGGAGATACTTCTTGGCAATTTACAAGGGCACGTGGAAGCCCTTGGGAATTTAATTTGGGCTCATGAGTGCATTTTGTTGCTTGAGGACAATGAGTTGAGCCTAATAGAGTCCAGTAGACTCTGGCCTTTGGAGTCAGGCATTGATTCAATCAACTGTCAAACACGTATTGTGCCAGGTTGTCTTCTAGGCCCCGGGCAGTAGTGAGCACGGATGGACTTGGCCATCCCTCCTCTCATGCGGCTTCAGTCTAGTGGGGAGACAGACCTGGGGTCCCATATCATCTCTGTCACCTCTTGGCTCTGAGAAGCTCATTTCAGTTTCTGGAGCCTCTATTTCCTCATCTGTCCAATGGACACAATGGGATATTTACCTCAAAGGTCAGCGTGAGAATTAAATGAGATGTGCTCGTAAAGCTTTCAGCACAGAAAACACACTTGGGGAATGGTAGGGATCTATAATTCCCTAAACTGTTCCCCGTGTGACCTAAATGGAGGGGCTGGGTTAGTAGCCTCTGGTTCCTGAGAGACACTTTCAGCTGTGACAGCTCCAGCCAGTGACCCTGGAGACAGTGCCTACTAGAGGAGACAGCTCATGCTGGCTTTGACCCAAGAGGACCTCTTCATGCTCTGTGAGCTCCCGGCCCCACCCATTCCCAGGTGGGCACTGCCTCTGCCTGATGAAGCCAAGCTGAACCAAGCCGCTCTCATTCTTAGCTCTAATCTCCTGTTCCTTTTCCGTGCATATCTTTCCTTCTGCTTCTCTTTTTTACTTTATCACTTGTGTATAGCTGGAGTCAGATAGTGCTAAAAGTTCCACAGCCTTCCTAATCTCCCTCTCTGCAAACATTTTACATCTCTTTTAGCGTTTTTTTTTTTTTTGAGATTTTACTTCCGTATTTCTACATAACAAACTATTATCTCTTGGTTTATCAATTTTACATAGCTTATTGCCTTCCTGTTGTGTTTTATGAGAATTTCAGCTCTTCTTTCCTTTCTATGCCTCTTAATAAAGTACTTTAGTGCCTGTTCAGTGTTTTCTTTATTGTGACCATAACACATGTTCCTGCAGAGCCAACTATACTGTGATCATAGGGAAGGAGTGGTGGAACTTGTTGGCTCTCAGTCTGACTCCCATGGCCATGTGTTCCATGCTCACAATGTGGCTGGCAGGGTCTACCCTCAGTGGGTGGTGTATCTGTTATTGATGTTGTTGGTATTAATATGGGCAGCATATGAGTGTCTTCTGAGTGCCAGCCGTTCTGCTGAGTGTTAGTCCTCGAAAGATAAATAAGACTTGACTCGGCCCATGCGGTGTCTGATGAAAGGAGACCCGTGGTGGGTGTTAGTTTCCTTTCTCTGCCCTCCTGGAGCTCACAGCCTGGCTGGGAGACAGATGCTAAAGGTGCAGTGTGGGGTGGCACAGATTAGAACCACCGCAGGGAGTGTGGTGCATTCTGAGGGAGACATTTGAGCTGGAGCCTGATGCCTGAGGCCGAGTGTGCCCAGAGGGCTGGACCACCAGGCAGGGAGGTAGCTGAGGAAAAGTGTGGTGCTGAGAAAGAGCACAGGGAGTCTGGGCTGATGGGGAGTTTAGTGGTCTGGAGAGGAGGACGCTTGGAACAGGAGTAGGAGATGAGGCCGTGCTGGTGGGTCGGGGCAAGACGAGGGGCTGGGTCACGAAGGGCTTGCTAATCCCTGCTGAGAAATTAGATTTTAGCCTCTAGGCAGCAAGAAGCCAAAGGATTTCTCTCTTGTCTTCCTGCCTGCCTGCCTTTCATCTCATCCCTTCTTTTCCCTCCTCCTCACTCTCCTCTTTTCCTTCCTTTAAATATTTTTAAATTATATTTAACACACATAAAATAGTAATTGTAAATTGTAAAGCAAACCAATAAAATGAACACCTTTCAACTCGCCATCCAACTTAAGAATGAAAACTTGACCTCCCTCACCCTCCAGGCCGATGTCCCCACTTTGCCCTTGTGGTTTTCCTCTTGGGAGCTTCTCACTAGTTTTCCTTTTTTCCCTCATTTAGCCTTGTATCATCAAGATTAAAGACTTTTTTGATGCTGAAGATTATTATATTGTTTTGGAATTGTAAGTAGTAAACTTTTTTATTTGTTTCCACTTAAATGCCTGTAAGCCCCCAAAGAATCGAATGCTGGCATGCATTTCTCATCCTGGGGACCCTCATTGTATGTATGTGGTGGTGGGGCCCACAAAGAGTGTGTGTGTGGGGTTCGTATAAATCCTAAAATCCCTCTGGTGTTTCCAAAGGAAGGTGGCTGAGAGGTCCCAGGCCCTGGATCTGAGGCCTGTGTTTGAATCGCACTCTCTAAGTGACTGACTGCCCTCGGGTTAGTTTATTTCACCTCTGAGTCTCATTTTCCTAGTGTTAAATGGGGAAGATAATGATGCCCCTGTGCACCAAGTCGTAGTGATTAAATGCTATGAGGGAGGGAAAGCCCCCAGCAGAGCACCTGGCATCTGTAGGTGCTTAACCACAGGTGGATATTATTACACTGAAATACCTGCCTGTTAAGGGTGGACCTTTCTGTTTGGGATCACGGTACCAGGTTGCATGGTGACACCTGAGTATCTCTCAGGTGCTGGTTTACTTGCTGGTTTATTTCAGTGGCCATAAAGTCCTGTCTTATTTGGTGTGATGAAAATCATTTCCTGTCTCATTCCTGGAAGGGGCCTGTCTTGATGTCTGTTCCTGCATAAAAATGTAGTGTTTCTAGGGGTGGCTATTGTGGCAGACAGGCAAGGCTTTGCATCTGAGTGACCAACTGTGGCTATGCAGGTGACCATTAAGATTATATACCAGGGGTGGCCCAGTGGTGCATTGGTTAAGTTTGTGTGCTCTGCTTCAGTGATCCAGGGTCCACCAGTTTGGATCGCAGTTGCAGACCTGCACACTGCTCATCAAGCCATACTGTGGCAGCGTCCCACATACAAAATAGAGGAAGATTGGCACAGATGTTAGCTCAGTGATAATCTTCCTCACCAAAAAAAAAAAAAGAAGAAAAGAAAGAAAAAAAGATTATCTACTAGACAACAGCCCCAATCATAGCACCAGGGGAGACTGGATGGCCTGTGTGGTACTTAGGGGAATATCTGTTGCTATTAAATAGGAGCTTGGGACCTGACTGGATCTAGTTAAAACAGCTTAATTATAATAATAATAATAATATAATAATATAACAGTAACTGATTCTAATTAAGCACTTAATATGAGCAGAGTACTGCTCTGAGCATTTTACGTGGATTGAATCATTTAACCTTCTTTACAGTCAGCCAGGTTACTTACAGGTTATGGGTGGGTTACTATTTTTAGCCCCACTTTAGAGAAGAGCAAACTGAAGCACAAGGAATTGAATCTTCTTGCCAAGCGTCTACACCGTACCAGGTGCTTTACCTACATCACTTCTCTCTTAATTTT